AGTATGGAATTTGTTTAGGAGAGCGCGACGAGATGAACAAACAATGAGTACTATATTTGGAAGTAAAGCTCACTTTTTTATCGGATGTTAAAATTGTCATCCAAACAATTCGAAATCTAGTAGAGGAATTGTTTAAGAGTGCCGGAGTAACTAGTTTACGTTTAAGTAAATCAATTTGCTGTCGCAGTTTTCGCGCGGCCGTCGTTGGTTGGGTCTCGTGTGCATCGGTCAACGAGTCTTTTTCCAGCTCCTCAAATGTTTTCTAATGCTAGCTGCAATCAAAACCATTGAGACAGGGACAAGGGAGGAGATTTTGCAGCATCTATCGCAGTCCAACTTAATTGAGCATGATCCAGACAATAATACTCTCCTACATTATGCGTGTCTAGCTGGAAATTTGAGTGCTGTAAATGTCCTAATCGAAGCGGGTTTTTATGTCAACGCCAATAATGTTGATGGGCACACTCCAATTTGTGATGCCGCAGCAAACGGCTCTGTTGAGATAATTCGGGCTTTGATTCGTGGAGGAGCAAATGTTAATCCACTTGCTTATTGGGGTTCTCCACTTATAAATGCAGTTAAGAATGGTAATTCGATCTCATCCTTTGACCTTTAGGGCATTATGATGCTATGGTTGTGTTAATTGATGCAGGTGCAGATGTTAACGCTTGTGATCGTAAGGGTTTCTGTCCTATACATGTTTCAGTGAAAGATCGGTTTTATTCGGCAGCTGAATACCTTTTAATGGCCGGTAAGCTCTGAATATCATTTTTACTTAATGAGTGTCATTAAACTGAGGCACAACCGCTCTTGCTCAGGTGCCGATCCCAATAAACGCGTTCGTCTCACAACTGCTTTGCATATCGCCGCAGAGCTTCGTGACTTGAAAATGGTTCGCCTTTTGTTACGTTACGGTGCTTTTCCCTCACCAGCGGACTATAGAGGACGCAGACCAATCGACTTCGTTGAAGAGGACTCTTCTATCTACAAACTCCTCTCCGCTTATACCGGTTAGTATATCGCGTTATCACAATTTGCGTGTCTTCGCCAGAATGGAATATTTTGTTTCTCATCGGTACTTCATATCTGTAAACGCGTAACTATTTAGTGGGTGACACGTCGTGCCTGCGTTTTTAACAGCAGTTTGGTTTAGAGACTTAAGCGTCTTCCTAATTCACCTTTGTCTTCGGATCCACAGAATGAGACGATTTTCACTTTCATTAAACTAATCCTTTCGCATCGGTTAACGAGGAGGTTAACGGGTTTGGAGTTTGAGGGCATTTATATATTGCTTGTCTTAAAAATACCCCACCTTGGTAACTTTTTTCTCGGTTTTACTGACTGTTGTTTGGTTAATGGTGTGAAGCTAATGAACGTAATAAATTCCATCAAACGACCACTTTATTTACCAGGTGGTCCTTTCGAGCACAAAATATCATCACAATGCCTTGTGCTTCTGCCTCCTTACATTTTGAAGTACATGAAATTTGTTTTTCACTGCAGTTGCTTGACTCGCGTCACTGATACAGCTAGCATCTATGCCTAGCTTACAGATTTGCGACTTTTGGAAGTGATTATTTGTTGTTAACCTCTAAGTTTCCCGCTCAGTCATTTGATCCATAACAGTACAAGTTCAGGTAACCCTAACTTGTGCACGCTCTAACAACATTGCCACATTGAAGTTTCAGTTGGATGCCCTTTGGTTTCCACTTTTGTATGTTCATCTTCTCATATCCTTCTTATTGAGTATCATCTCAACTCTTCGAGGTTTTCATCCAAGTCTCCTACATCACAAAATTTTTGGCACAAGTCAACTAGCATTGCCTTCTTTACGTAAGGAGCCTCTACTAAACGTCTGAACCCGAAGTCGTACTTTTTCGCTTAAAATACTGCGAAATTTAAGGCATTTTAACACTTGTCTTAGAATTCATGTTGTGCTGGACTTCAGTTGTTCTCTCGATTTGGTATTTAGACTTCATCTCCTTTTGTCGCCTACTTGATGGGTGCATTTTCAAGGAGTCGACTTGAAAAGCACATCAAGCTCATGACAGGGAAGTTTATTAATTCAAGATTTTGGCATCTACTGCCAGTATACTTCGGACTTTTGACACCTCGTATTGTGTGGATGGTCTTGTGGAAAACTATTGTGAACAGGCACAACTCTGCAAGAGATAAAAATAACTTATTCCTTTTGCAAATGGTGTGTTAGTGGTTCCGCTAGGTCAAGGCGTTACTGCTATTATTCAAGTTATCATCGTTACCCTTCTCCACCACCAGTGGAATCTCCATTGAAGCCTCTTGACTGTGATCACTGCCAATCCTGTGTGATCTTGAGGTTTTCGACACCTTTGGATGCTAATTCTTTTTTCTTATGCACATAGATATCCTTATCTTAGTTACTAAGTCATCAAATGGTTGCTCAATTTTGGGACCAATTTAGGGCTGCCTTTATCACATTGGCGTTTGTTTTTTGTTAACGCATTGTCATTAGTCCCACCAGAACAAGTCACAAATTTTTTAACCTTTTTATCAAATTGAAAGTTGGATCTCGTTGCCGTTGGGTAACTTACACTTTTCAATCTGGTCTGTTATTTATTTTTTACTTGAACACCCCAATGAGAAACTACTTGCATAAAATTCCATCGTGCAATTTTTTAAGTTAATATTGAAATATATTTATGAGAGGGCAGCTTTGATGATGTCCGTAAACTTCCTCTTCCATTCCATTTTATACACTGATATATTCTTCAGTTTTCATTTTCAACCACATTGTGTTCCTTCGCACTTCT